AGTCAAGCACTCAGCCCTTTGCTTCGCCCAGGGACTTCCGCACAGACATTCCACTAACCAGACTCACTGCCTTCGAGTCGTTGCAACTCACGGCGGCCCTACAGGACAGGGTGGAACTGCCCCTGTGGGTTTCTGAGACTAACTCTGTTTGGGAGCAGAAAGCCTCATTCTCATCCCTCGGAGCGGCTGTTGGTTTCAAACTACCAACCTTGCGGTTAGGATCCCAACACTTAACCCGCTACGCAACCAGGACTCTTTGACAGATACTCAAGGCCTTGCTAGCTCCTGCCTTATGGGAGCTGTGAGGATTCTCGAAAGCACCAGACAGACCTGGTATTGAACTTGGCCCGGGAGCAAGCGCATTGTCTCAAGACATTTGGAAATGGCTAGGTTCTTGCAGTTTGACACTGACTTGGGACAGCTTCCCTGGGGACCCAGGTCTTCCTGGCTTTCTCTCGGCTTTGGGCAGAGACACGGAGCCAGGCCAGGTGTGAGAGACAGCTGACCTTTGAAGGGACCCTGCCATTGAAGCTTCTTTTGGAGCAATGGTAATGTTTAACCAGGACAAAGAAGGGTTACTGCCACCCGTTCCAAGAAGACTACTGTTCCGCAGCAAGGTGTGGCCCTCAGAGATGCTCACACACGCTTTGCTGGGCACTGCTGCACTCCAGGACATGCGGGGGACAAAGGTGAAGGGCATCGGAGTGGGTGGTGGCCTGCCAGAGCTGTGCCCGTGGCCAGAGGGCAGAGAAAGTGCTCCCTGGTAACTACAAAGCTGCGTGAGCTGGGTCAGTTGGCCACAGCAAGGAGTCCGAGGGGAGCTGTGCCCGGGGCTGGAAAGGGCTGGGCAGAGAGAGGAAGCCTGGGGAAGGGAGGTGGTGGAAGAGGGGATTTCCGGTGAAGGAGCACCAAGAACAGAGGTCGTTCCTGCATGCCTGCGTTCCACTGCTGCCCCCACAGCCTCTGCTGGTGGCTCAGACCCCTCCCACCCTCAGAACCCCGGTTCTCTCTGGGAGCCATGGGCCTGGGCCTGGGCCTGGGCCTCATCTGAAATGCTGCCCACCCTTGGCTGCGGTAACATCAGGGACTCCCTGTTGTCCATTGAGGGGTGCCCCTGAATTCTTTCCCCTGTGGGCTGGTCTCACACCAGCAGGTCAAATCCAAACCACCCTCAGCTCCTTGCTAGGAAGAGGGCTTTCTCCTCCCTTAAAGCATTACAGTCTTGGAAACTCCCCCGGGGCGGGTCCACTGGACGGCCATGAGTCTGGTCTTTGAGTCCCTTGCTCATGTACTGCCCCTTCTTGTCCTGGCTTCTCTTCTCTGTACTCTCTGGGTTTTGAGGGGAGGGGCCAAGGCTTTTCTGCGGTGCCCTAGTTCCAGGGCTCAGTATGGAGTGGTTTGTTTAAGGAGCAGACCAATGACAAGATGAGAGGAGATGGCAAAGGGCGGGGGCCGGGCCATGGGTGACCTCCAGAACCAAGTCGGGAGGTCATTCTCTGACAGTTGTACACATCATGGTCTGTGGCAAGGGGCCCGAGGGTACACGCTGCTCTTTGGCGGATTCTCACGCTCCATTTTAAAAAGAGAGAGAGAAAGACAGAGAAATACCAGTATGCATAACACAACCACGGGGAAAATCTGAGAGACAACTACATCATGTATCTGAGGACAAGTGAAAACACACAAGCATCGCTGCTGGGCTTCCAGTCCCTCCCGCGTGTAAGGGAGTCTGCTATCAGTGGGTGACTGAGAACGCACCCCTCCCTGAGACACTGCACGTCCTTGGGGCCTTCCAGAGAAAGGTCCCATCACAACAGTGCCTTCCACGGGGATCTGCCAGGCCAGTTCCACTCCAGGCCAAGAGCCCCGCTCAGAAGGGCACAGCGATTGTGTCTGGGCATTCCAGAGGAGTCATCTCCACCGGACAACCACAGGGGCTTATAGTGCAGAAGCTGTAAGAAACGGACAACCGTGTTGCTGAGTAGGAAGCTTCCCCACGAGGTCTTCTCCCATGACAACAAGGCACCTGCTCGTTCCTCGGACCAGGAAGGGAACGCTGGGACACCTCACCCATCCAGCCCGCAGCCCTGCTCTTGGGCTTCTCTTTGCCGCTCCAAACGCCACCTTTGAAGGGAACGTGATCTGAGGCTGCTCACCTGCTGACAAGGTGTACCCCAGGGGGCAGGCTTCTGCGGGGAGGGGTCGGAGACTTGGTGGAGAAGGGTTTGCTGTGAGGCAAGAGCTTCACGTCTTGATGACCCTTGTTTAGGAAAGGCGTCTGTGTTCTGTAACAGTACCGTATGGCTTGCCTTGGACATTGCTGTTCTTCTGTTAGCAGTTGTGTTGGCCCTCCATCCACACATCGTACAGCTCAGTAGTTCAGTCCTGTCCAGAAGAGTTGTACCATCATGACCACAGTCGATGTGAAAACATGTTCTGCTTCCTGGTACTCATTCTTCTTCGTGCAATTCTTTTTTGCCCTTGGATATTTCTGCTCGTTGTTTGTCACCATTACGTTGCTGTGTGTTCCTGTTGGTCTTTTTGTCTCCACATGTGTGCTGCTTACAAGATCATCTTTTTCTGTAACAGAGCCTTTCAGGTGTTGTTGCTTGGCTCTCAGAGCTTTGTGTTTTTCTTGGCTATTTAAACCAGCAAGGGATGTGGGCATGTGCAAAAATGTCCTTGTGCTCTCTGCTGCTGAAGATGGAAGCTGCTTCCATTCCCGCAGCCCCAGTGACAGGTAAAGGAGCCCTGGATACCTTTGCAGACGGGTTTTGTCATATTCCCTTGAGGTAGATGCTCAGGTCTCCTGGCCAGAGCACCCAGAGGGACCGGGGCTCTGTGTGCTGGGGACAGTTGCCCTGTCTCATTCCGGGATACACAGCCTCATCTCCAGAGCACTTAGGTGCTCTCAGGCGTCCCTGATCATTAGCAACGCTCTGCCACCCAGAGAGCATGGCGGACGTATTTATTGAGCTTGCAAGACGGGGAAGACAAGCATCAGGCACAGAGAGCCCAGGGCCTCCCCTGTCTCTGCTACCTCACCCAGTAGATGGAAATGTGCCCTGGCCCGGAGCCTGCTACACTCACCTCCTGCCTCCCTCACAGCCCTCCACAGTGCCTGCAGTCACTGTCCTCTGCACCCCACAGCCTGGTCCCCAGCACACTTGTCTGGCCTTTCAGGTGGTGGCTCCACGGGGCAAGAGCTGGGCCCTGCTTCCCGTTGCATCCTTTGAGGCCGCAGGTCACTGCTGTTGAGTGAGAAGAACAGCTCCACAGAGCTTTTTCTTCGTCAGGAACCCAGGAAAGGGCCCTGTCCTGCCTGAGTCCTTCGGGCCCTGAGCGGGTTTAGGTTACTTCTCTTGGGTAGGTGAAACTTAGCCCTCCCCTTCCCTTTAAACAACTGCCTGGCCCACGTCAGAGCCACTTGATGGAGAATGTGTGATGCTGTTGACTTCCTATTTGTGACTGAGTAAAAGCAGATGGGCCTCAGCCAGGCCTGTCACCCGTGGTCTGTACTCACAGGCCCTCTCTCCAGCTGTCTCATCAAAGAGGTTCCCAAGGACCAGCTTTTGGAAGGACAGCCAGCCAGAATGGAGCAGCAGTCATTGTCATGGCCACACTCACTGCTGCTCCCGGTCCCCCGGAGCACCTTCCTTTGGTCGGGTGCCTCCTGCGGCTTTGGAGAGGCACTGAGCCTCGCCCTTGCAGATTGACAGCCGTGGGTCTGTGGAGACGGAATCAGAATCCGGCTCTCACTGCCCCTGTGATGTGGGGCACAGGAGTCCCCCGCTGAGGTTGGGCTTTTCTTGGTGTTCCTCCCTCACCGGGCGGCTGTGAGAGTTAAATTGAGCAGGTGCAGTGCCTTTGCTGATGAAGATCAAAGATTGCAGCCTTCGGTAGGCATTATAATTCAGTGTCAAGAAAACCAAAATCCTCTCCACTGGACCAAGAGGAGACGATGGCAAACAGAAAGAGGGGGGTTGTCCAGGATTTCATCCTGCCTGGATCCGAAATCCATGGAGGCCACAGACAAGCGATCACACAATGCACGCACTGGGCAGACCTGCTGCCCAGTGTTGAACAGCAAGGGGTCAGCTTGAGGCCTCAGGTGTGCCTGGCACAAGCCATGGCAGTTGCCAGTCCCTCACACGCATGCTGGGTATTGAATAAGGAAGACCTAAGAAGAATGGATACATGTGAGCCTGGTGCTGGCCAGTGCCGCGGACTCCCAGAAGAACAAAGAGTACAGCCAGAATGCTCCTTCGAAGCGAGGACAGCAAGACTCTCCTCGTGTCCGGAGACAGCCCTGAGCAGAGGCCGTCCTGCTTGGTGCATCAAGGGGCAGTGGAGCGAGAAAGGCCAGGGATGAGATGGGTTGACGCAGTGGCTGTAATGTTGCGCCCAAACAGAGCAGCTGTGAGGATGGCGCCAGGGCGGGCAGCCTTCCCTTGTGTCGTACACAGGCTCGCCTTGGGTCGGAACCAGCTCGATGGCCTGTCGAGCCTTTCTCAGCTAGATTCCTCACCCACGCTACGGCGCACAGACAGACCGGAACGGTGGTTCCCTCAGCGCTCCAGGATGGAGTGGCGCTCTCCCTGCGCTAGAGGCACAGAGGAGAAGTGAGTCCATCACACACTAGGACCGGGAGAACATGGACATCGTGGCCCGCTCCAGGGCGACTCCACTTTTCCTGTGGTGTCAGCGTGTGGTGAGCCTGGCACATGGGCGACTTTTGATAAGTGTCCGCTCTCTTCTCATGAAGCCGCCCACATCCTTTAGAAAGTCCTGATCGCCTCAGACTGGGCATACCCACGTCCTATGGGGTCCTCTAGGCTCCTGTTCCCTAGCTAGCGCGGTGGGGGGGCGGGGGACTCTCCCTTTATCAGTGCCTGGCGCTCGCCCCGGCAGAGCGGCTAGAGAAAGAAGAGGAGGGCCCCCCTGCGCAGGCAGGCGCCTACTGAGCTGTGCTCTGCAGCAGGCCCTTCCCAAGCCCCGAGGTCACACGGACAGACTGGGCACCCCGATGCATTGGTTGCCAGCTGCTGCTAACTTGCCCATGGAGACAGGCGTTGTTCCTGATGAGGGGCCCAGGGACCACGTCTTGAGCACTAGACGAAGGAGGAGAGAGCAGTGTGGACAAGGATAGGCAGCCCCACGCTTCCCTCCCGCCTCTAGAACTCCCTCCTCCCCACCCTTCCACCCCTGCTAGTAGTAAAAGAAACAGCATCTGTCCATGGCCTTGGACGAGGCGCACCTAGCCTGTGTGTGTCTGCCAGCACCTGAAACTGCTACAGGAGCCTGCTGTCCCTCCTGTCGTGACTCAGACTCGAGTAACCAGTTCCCAGGCTGGCCGATCCGATTTCACTGACCAGCTCACATGCTCGCCTGTGCCCGCTCTGCTGAGTCTAAAGGGGAACAGATACGGAGTCCCATGCGGTCCTCGAGGGAGGCCACCCCGTGTTCTGGGGGAAGCTCGTGTTGAGTTGACATACTACCTCAGGGCCAGCCCCTCCACTTCCAGGTGGCCCTTCAGCTGCACCTTGTCACTGGAAGCCACCCAAACGGAGTGCTGGCTGCCAGGGAGGGAGTGCCTTCGAGGTCTTCTGCAGGAGAGCTTGGTGGGAGTGGGGGCTTTCTCCAGAAACAGGCGGTAAGGTCTGGGCAGGGCTGGGCTCTGGGACTTGGGTATGTGAAGATGGGGAACCCCAAAACCCATGACCATCAAGTGGATCCTAAGTCATTAACACCTTCATAGGACAGACTAGAACCGCCCCCAGAGGGCTCCCAAGGCCATGCATCTTTACCGAAGTGGACTGCCTCGTTTTTCCTTCAAAGAGTGGCTGGTGGGTTTGAACCCCCAGCTTTTTGGTTCGCAGCTGAGTGCTCAGCGACTGCACCACTGGTGCCCTCAGGGTGGGGAGGAGGCGCTCCTTCCTGGGGGCCTGGGACAAGGTACTTCCCCCATGACACGTGAGGGCGCCCCTGCCTGTTGTGAGGGCTCTTGTGACATGAACATGTGTCTGAGACCTTGGGTGCCATCCTGGTGGAGGTGATGCTGGCCTGGAGGTAGCAAGGTGCCCAGAGCCAGGGAGTGCACCCTTCCAGAGCCCTGAGGCTGGGCTGGCCCTGTGACGGGGGGTTGGCAGAGTCCTTTGCAGCTGTCCCTCCCCAGCCAGATGGCCCTGGGGAGCTGGACCTGAGCCCTCTGCCTGG